GACAATAGGAGAAGGAATGTGTTCCATCTGGACAACGACAGGCCACACACTTTGATAGTGACTCGCCATAAGCTCCGCGAGCTTTATTGGGAGCTTTTTATGCATCAATCTTATTATAGTTCCGACTTGGCACCAACTGATTACCATCTGTTTCTATCTATGGCGAATAGTTTTGCTGGTGAAAAAATTACTTCAAAAAAGGCTTGTCCAAATCGACTATCACAATTTTTTGACAATAGAGACGAGGGTTTTTATGAGATGGGCATAATGGTATTTCTCTCAATATGGCAACAAAACGACGCATAATTGACCTAATTTGGATTATTCTAATTATAGTAATTAAAACCTTTAAGTTCATGCAAAACCAATAGATTTTTTTACTCAACCTAATATAATATAAACAATTTAGAGGGTTAAGTTCTAAAGTGCTTAAATGTCATACACATAATTCTAATTTTGTTATTGCTAAAATGATCATCAACTAATAAAAGTGCTTATCAAAAAGCAGTGGTTGATACTTGAGCCAAATAATAATTCATCCTTGATTACTAAATAAATGTAATTTGCAAATAAGAAAAACTTTTGAAGTTCAATGGAGTGAATTTAAAAATACATACCGAATACGAAATTAAATGCAAAGCTTGCATTATAGTTACATAATTATAACAAAGTTGCGTTTGATAGAAATAATAATATTATTATTTGAAATTAGGCTAGTGAAGAATAAATAAAATATACTTTTTATCATTTTTATTAATGACGAAACATTGTAAATTTTTTGTCAAACCGGTTTATATCTTTGCGAATAACGTCGTCGTTTTTGCTATAATGATTTACACAGAATAATATGCTGTCCGTGGAATTGTTTATTTTTCTTCTTATATTTTCTTATTGTGGTTATATGTCTGTTTTATAACATTATACAATTGATTATAAATCTTTCAAAGATTTTTTTACTGAAATATTTTTATATTATTTTGTATTTGTTTGTATGTGGGAATATTTTTATTTGTTATTATAACCACTTGAGATTTAGCGTCGTTTTTTTTTATCATTTTCTTCAATACTACTTAAACTAATGAACTAAATTCTGTTTTGTTGATCATTTTCTCATTAATATGAAAAAATAGAGCTAAAAATTCATTGTGGTTCTTTATTTTGATGTCATAACTCATAATTTGTAATGCGACTTTTTTGAAGAAATAAATAATAATAAATTTGAGTTATTGGTAACTGAAAGACATCTGAGGGATGCTAATGAAACTATTCATCTTATAAAAATTCGGCCACTTCAGTTTATCCAAAGTAAGTTGTTCATACTGGGAATAAATAATAATAAATTTGAGTTATTGGTAACTGAAAGACATCTGAGAGATGCTAATGAAACTATTCATCTTATAACAATTCGGCCACTTTAGTTTATCCAGTAAGTAAGTTGTTCATACTGGGAACATATGCTTGGAAGTCCCACGTTTGGGACATCAACATGAACAGAGACAAAAACGATGATCGGCTGTACATTGTTCGCAAAACTAAGGTCTATACACTTAAAGCTTTTAAGGTATAATATCTGTGGTATTTTACTATAAATTTATTCCATCACTTTAATTTATAGAACTTTGTGAAAACTATATATTTTCCCCCAAGTATATGGTTTTTCATTCCCATCTGCGCCGCTATCATTTTATTCAAGGATTCCAAAACACCATTTAAGCTTCGGTTCAAGCGTTCTTCAGATGTCAAGGCTAATACCTCAAGACGTAAAATGAAACGTAAAAGATTTTTACGAACATGTAAATTGTTCAAATATTTAAATGACTTGCAAAAGTTGTTGCACATCAGTCCTTGAAACTAATTTATCAAGATCTAATTAAATTTAACAAGCTTCTAACGGAAGCATTTAGCGATCAAATGATTAATTTGATGAATTATGTAATTTTAATTTGACATTTGTTATGTTAAAACATAATTAAATACTTAATTATATATAAATAACTTATTATTAGTTTTATATGGTGTTTCACCATAGTATCAAATATTTTACTATTTTATGAAGTCGGGAGGCTTCTTTTAAATTTTCTGCAAAAACTCTGAATTTGTGCTTACAATTTATATAGTAGTGTCTAATATATTGAAACTTAGTATATAAAATGATAAGAAGATACTATTCCAATATTCCAGCTTAGTGTTGTACCAGCAGTATATTTTCAATTGTGAACATACACTTAATTTATATTTATTAGGTTCTCATTAATACCGATTAGAAAAGAATTGTAATAGATTCGTACTTGGCTTATTATGCATTTCTCTAATACTTAGTTAAGATTTTTTAATTTGATCAACAAAATTTTAAACCATTTCAATTACAGTCGTATATTAAAAAAATACAATACAGTTTTTTTTTTAATTTTGTAGATCATTGTGCGTTTTATGGATCAACAATGTCCTGTTAATTAGTCGAAGATTAGGAAACAAATTATATATATTTAAACATATTCACATCGAATTTATATGCCTTTACGTAAAAGTCACGACTTTGAACAAATGATTGAATTGTATTTATATTTTTGGAGATTTGGTAAATTATCATCGGTTGATACATGATTGCATATACCAAAGTTGTAATTATGTAGCGTTTTTATATTTCTTTGATAAATGACAATCAGAACATTAATTACATTCTATGAGTTATTTTGATTTAAATTAATTGAATATAATTATAGATAGTAGTTACCCTAGTGGGTAGGTTATTAGAAACTATTAGAAACAATTTATTGGATCAAGTTAAGAGGCCATAATTATTTGTCTTCTTAATTCTGGTCTAAGAAGCAGTAGAGCAATGAGTGAATTGAGGTGATTAACTAATTTGTGATAATGATTAGTGGATCTTGTTTTTATGCAGAGTTTTAATGCTCATGTAACAGGGTGCAACTGTCATCATTCTAAGTAGTTTTGTTTGTAGCAAATTTAATATATATGAAATAACTTTCAAACCGTCAAACTATAAAGTATTCTATGGAAATTCCTGGATTTTCCAAGTAGATTTTAAAATAAATAGTACTTGTAAGTTTAATAGAATTTTAATTCGCCTGACCGACGTTACTACGCATTTTGTGACGCACACGCGATGCAAAATTCAACAGACGTTTCCATCATCAAAAGTGCAAATGGATGAACCTGTTCCTTCAGACCCGAGTTGAATTCATTTTATTATTTTTACCACTCGGACTATGATCATGCATTAAATATGCACCATTTGCTCTTTTTATGTCTGAAGTGATGTTCACATCATTTAATATTTATATCGTTCTATAGTGCGCATGCGAGATGGGTTTGGAGAGGACACGACGATAATTAAGTGTCCATCAGAAAAATGATTTGCAATATTTTGCATCTCTTTTTGATGTCACATCTGCTTTTTAATAATACTTTGAATGGCTATTGTTTACCCGCTATAATTGTGCATAGGAATAAATACATTTTGCATTGAAAGTTAGAACATGCGATTCATGAAGTATGAATTGCAAAGACATCAAGGTTTTTTTCACGTGTGAGATATGTGAAGCGTAACCAATAACGCACGAAAAAATCATATGTTTTTGGTTATATTAAAAAGATCGAATTTTGTAGATATTGAATTATGTGATTTTACTTTATCAGTAAAAAATGCCATTCCCAAGGCTGCTTCTTACAATAACTAATAAATATAACTCAAATCTAATAATTTGAGAACTCATTTTATTAATTCTCGTCCCAAAATGTATAGAACTCGACTAAAGTAGTATAATCTTATACTTACTATCGAGATTAATAATCAAATTATGATGGAATGAATTGAATATTGAATGAATTACTTCTCTCAAAATTTCTGCAATTTTTTAATGCTTTATTATGCAATCGCCGCCTATTAATAAAAATTGTAGTAACATATATTATTGCAATTTATTGTTAGCCTCTTGATCTTAAAGTTTTATTATTTACTTTCAACTTTATTACCACCGATATAAAGACCGAACTTTCTAGGAAAAGGAAATATATTTCATGATTAATTTTAATTTTTCTAGCATAATTATAGGTGTAATTGGTAGTATCAAAATGTGAATATTTTAATATATATTGACAATTTTTGTTTACTTTAACATTATATGAAAAAGTGAGCAAGGGTGTAAATTGTATTACCAAAATGATCTTCTAAAGGTGTTTTTTATAAAAAAAGACGGAAATATTTCATGAAGGATGGGATTTTATATTCTTATAGCAATAAAAAAGTTCATTACACGAAAACCTTTAGTATTTGTATCAAAAGGTTAATTTCAGTATATTTGGACTTCATATCTCGAATTAAATTTTATTACAAAAGTTGACCAATGACAATCTATTTTTGACAATATTGTTTTTTTAAAGAAATGTATGCGATAGAATACTAAATTTTGTTGCATATATCACTAAAATAAAAAGTCCAATAACACAAAATGATGATATCAAATGCATAAGATATTATAACAAATGAATTTTCTTCTATGCATGCAGCGATTGTATCAATATTTTTGTACACGTTTTTTGCTGGTAATGATATTCAATTATGATATTATTATTGATATATCGAATTTTCTATTTTCCTACCATAGGGTTACAAGTTTTTTTTGTAAATAAATAATACTTGATGTTCATTTGATATAAATCTGGAACAAATTGTGATTTGAAATTGCGTTACTATATTTGCCTCATTATGTGATATTTTGTATGACCGTCACTTTGCTAAGTTCTACGGCTTCGAAATGTATTTTAATATATATTTTATTTTGGGTAAAATATTTTTTTTATTATAATATTTATAATATATTATTTAAGACAAAAGAATATGGACGATAAAAGTTATTTTAAGATTTCACAATATCTTATTCATATTTTCCTGAAAATTCCTATAATTTAAATACATACATAAATTTTAAAATGATATTATTTTTTATAATTTAATAAGATTTTAATATTATTTTCAGATGTGAAGACAATTCTTCATGCAGTTAGCGGCCGCTTGAGGTCAGGCGAGCTGACTGCCATTATGGGACCTTCGGGTGCTGGAAAAAGTACTTTGCTGAATATTCTTACTGGATATATGTAAGTAAAAAAATATGTGAAGGTTGGCATTTAAAGTTACTCTTTACTAGAGTAGACGAAGATGGTCGTTTCCTCAAAACTGTGTGTTTTACCGATCTTGAACTTATTTTTAAGCGAATCAAATAAATAAAACTTATTTATAAATTATGCTAAAAGAAGAAATTAAAGAAAAATTAGTTATTTTCTAATCTAAAACATTTTTTTAGTACAAAATATTCTAGTTTTAACAAAAATCTGTTATTACTATCGAATAAGTAATAGATTGTTTCTTTTTACCATCATTGCTCTTGTTAATCAGGGTTACGTAATTTAATACCATAGCAAAAAAATAATTTTGTACAAAAAGGCAGTCATCATGCATGTCCATTTCTTTACACACTCTCCATGCGAATTTATCTACTAGATATAATTCATTGCGAATAAAGGAGTTTTTTCTTCAATTATGTGTGATCAATTATTTCTACCTAATAATTAATAATCGTTACACAATTTTTCATATCTTTGCAACATTTCGTCAACATAAGTTTATTTTATGTAACATTTTATAGACATAAATCTAATAGATGCAATCCATGTAGATAAAACTATGTTTTATTTGCTATATTTATTACTAAAATTGCTTTACATATATTACCAAATCAGAATTGATCTGTTATCGATTTTTTTTTATTTTAAAAATAATGGTATCTCTTCTATGCGATGTTCAATAATTTAATTATTTAATATCTAATTAATTTATTCTGAAATAATATTAATATTTACTAGAACAATTATTAAACTAGTGGGTATGTTTAATTTTCCCAAACTCAGCTGTTTCCATGAATCGAGATAAGAAAAGGACTTTGGCCAAACTTCTCTTACGTGATCAGCGATAATTTTGTCCGAATAACATTTAATCATGTTTATTAGTTCAGAGTCTAATTACATTAATACTACAGATCAACCTAAAACGCGTAATTTGTTATTAATTTCAAATTATTGATATGCAACATTTTTGATTGCATATAGGTGAATTGAAAATATTATTACATGCGATGATGCTAATCACAAAGTTCACATAAAATCGATAACCGATAAGATATTGACGAACTTAAACTGTTTTTTATTGATTTGTGATATCACGCAATGAAAATTCTTAGAAAATTTATTGACATCTAGTCTCATATGTTTCAAACTCATATTAACTAATCATATGGAAAAATGCAAAAAATCGAATGACTTATGGAATGAATATTAGCTCTATAATAGTAGTTTTAAATTTCGAATAATTTTAATTTCAATATGAATTTTAAAATCCTAATATCAAACATTAGTAAAATGATTTATAATTATTTAAATATTGTTTATAATAAACTAATAAAACGGCCTAGTTATTATTTATTTACAATTAAATTTCAATTTAGAACATCAATCATAGAATAGTAATCACGAAAGTGATTCATTATTCAATATGACATTTGTTTATTGGAAACAGACATTGATTACTAAACAATATGCGTTATGATTTCATTTTGTAAACTGGTGTTAGATTTAATCCAGTTAATTTTGCTCATATAAAAAAAATTATAAAAACAATAAAATATAAAGAATGAACTAGGAAAACAATAAGGGTTACAATAATGATATTTGTAAGGCCGCGGTAAGTGTCCGGCCTTGTAATCATCATCCCGAAATCAAATTTGTGTATCGGACAACCTTATATCAAGACGTAGATATGATATTCATTTAAAATTATATATCATAATGTGTTTCCAAATGAAAAAAGTTATTCATTTCGGCATCACTGCAATGAGTGAAATTCACAACCCGGTGTAGGTTTACGACCTAGTGAAGGTACTTCTAATATAAAACAATGTACATCAAATAGATAAGATAATCCTTGACTGTCTTCTATAATGCCACGGAGTTTAGGATAAACACAATCACGACAGAATATTGAGAATAAAAATCAATAATAAAATGCATAAATACATACTTCAAACAAGCAATTTATCATACTATGTAGCTTAATAGAGCTTTTTTATCCACACCATCTAAAATTATGTATTATTTCAATACCAACATTAGCCCCTCTTTGTTTTTCTTCCTTTTTTAATTTTTGATAAACTTTCTTCATATTAGTACAAAACCTTAGATTAAAAAGAAAAATAATATAGATTTTCTGAATTTGTAATAAATTTGTATAGTGGAAATGCGTGTATAATATAAATATTATCATTTTAAAAAGACACAATCTAAAAATCAATATGTTTTTTGTTATGTATAAAATATGTTCATTACTCATTGGAGTTCTGAAAACTATTGGTTTTTCCTATGTAACTTTGACATGACTCGACCTATCATTACCCAAGATCAAAGACTTTTGCACGTAAGAATTGAATATTTTTCCAAATATTTTGCGTCCATATGATCCATACATACTTCGCGCACATAAACACAATTTTTTTTATGTTATGCCAAAGTAATAAAATGTAACAATTACTTACTTCTCATAAATATTTAATGTGTTTTCTTTACTATAGGACCGAAGGAATGGACGGTTCCATAACTATGAACGGCGAGGAGCGTAATCTAAGTCGATTCCGCAAGTTGTCCTGCTACATAATGCAAGACAATCAACTTCATAATAATCTTACCGTACAAGAAGCGATGCATGTCGCCACCAGTTTGAAACTCAGCAGCGACACTGATCCGGAACATAAGCAACAAGTTGTGAGTATTATTTCTATTTGGACCATTCAGATGTAAAATAAACATTTTGTGTAAACCTGTGAAACTTATTTAAACAATAATGCAAAATGCCAGGTTCAAGACCTGCAAGGTTTTAATATTGATAAGTCAAGTTTTTAGGGTGTTGCACTATATGAACAGCATTATTAGTAAAGTTTTATTCTTATACTATAATCTGAAAGTGGTCTTCAGACTCATGGTTTGCAGAAATATAATTAGCAATATGTTTCCAAGCAAAAATAGCCTTTACCTGGCATTGCAGCATCTAATAAAAGCCATTAGTTTAGTATAAAATTTATCTATGAATTGCCTTTTTAGTTTTTGTTAGTTGTGTGTAATATTATTATTGTCATGCAGTTAAAACTATTACATACCTTTCGCTATCGAAAAGTAATATAAGAGCTTAGCCAGGATGAACACTGGAGTCATATTCGTTATTTTTACTTGTCTATAATTGAAGGATTCTCGTTTATATTATGACATTAGTTATGTATACTGTTTCTCTCGAAAAGATACATATAGAAACCTACTTTTTAATTCTTTTCTGATGCTTTCAAATTTGATCATGCTTAAAAATCAATAAAAAATATCTCTCCTATCAATATTACAGTCCTGCTACCTGATACCTTCTTGTAACAATCTTTAAACTGAAATAAATTACGATGCACTTGAATATAGTAAAACGTCTGAACGTTTACTTATTTATTTATTTATTTAAATAACTAGTTAGTATAATTTACATTTGCCGTAGTAAGTTTATTTCAAGCTTTATATACTTTGCACGTTCAGTAGTAAATTGTGAACAATTGATTAATAAAATGCAATATTAGGTGTAAATATGCCATATATGATAAACATAACTTTAAAGCTACCGTATCAGAAAAGGGTTAGCTTGCATTTTGTATTTGATTTACTTATATTAATATTTAACTAATTAACAACATAAGGTGAAAAATGGAATATTAATCAATGTAGTAGATCTGAAGCTGATTCACTTGTAAAATTAATTAATGTTTTTCAAGTTAATATTTTTCTGTGTCACCTCTAAAAACTTGTGGTAATAGTGTTGTATGGTAAAGGTCAAGAAAATGCAAATATGTATGTAATTTAAATGTATAATAGTATATCATGATTATAAATTTATTATATACATAATCAATTTCAAATAATTAATTTTTTTTTCTTTCCTTTAGATTAAAGAAATCTTAGTCACATTGGGCTTGGATGAACATCGTCGTACTTTGACTGGAGATTTATCTGGTGGTCAGAAGAAACGTCTGTCAATTGCTCTCGAGTTGGTTAACAATCCACCAGTTATGTTCTTTGACGAACCCACATCTGGTCTGGATTCTTCATCCTGCTTCCAATGTATATCTTTGTTGAAGCAGTTGTCTCGTGGTGGAAGAACTATTATCTGTACAATTCACCAACCTTCTGCCAGATTGTTTGAAATGTTCGATCATTTATATACATTGGCGGAAGGGAAATGTGTCTATCAAGGATCCACTGGCCAACTAGGTAAGATGAAACTGAAACTTAAGAAGTATTAAATGACATTGCTGTATCTTTAAATTGGTATAAGCAAAATGTGAAAATTGATAAGCACGATATTCTTTACTTTTAATTGTCTTTATTTTCTTGATACTATTTTTATACTGTGTATTTGAGTAAATGTAGATGTCTTTGATTCTTACACTTTTAAATTTTGTACCTCGAAGAACATTTATTAAACTTATATTTATTTTTCTTGTTTTTTTCTGAACAAACTTTTGCTTCAAGTCGCAAAAGATTTTTGAACCAGGATATAAGCATTTTCTGCTGAAACTTGTTAATGAATGTTTAGAGGTTTAGTCTACTGATGATGATTTCGTTTCTAAAACCATTATACTAATATATTATCATTTTAGTTCCTTTCCTCGGCGGTCTCGGTTTGCAATGCCCGGCTTACCACAACCCGGCATCCTTCGTGATCGAGGTCTCCTGCGGCGAGTATGGTAATCATAATGCTCAGCTCGTCAAAGCCATTCGAAATGGAAAGAACGACATCAGAAGCTCCCAGAACACCATCACGAATGGCCTTAATAATCTAACAGCCGCGGCTAATGGCAATGGTAATGGGGTTTACAAGAACGGAAATGCACAGATTCATAATGTTAACGAATTGCGCCACGATGCTGAAGAGAAGTTCTCTGAGAAAGGACATGATAATAATGGATCACTGGTGCCGCAGTATATGGTCAATGAACTACTGAAAAATGGACAAGGTAATTGACTGTTGATTGACTATGTATACATAAAGTTTCTGCCTCTTTTTTCGAAATAATAATTTTGTTTTCTGATGAATATTTAATGATAGTATTTGCTATTTAGTTTCTGGTTGGTAGCAGACTTATTGATTTATTTGAATGTAAATAAGTGTGAATACGTAGTTATCAATACTTCAGCGTATTGAGCTCTTATTTTTTGCTTTCATTTAAAAATAATTTATACGAATCATTCGTTCTATTTATTTAGCAATAATTCTCATGCACATGCCAACATTTGTAAAATTTTAAATAAAATCAAAATTTGCGGAATCAATACTTTGTGAAAATGAACTCTTGAGAAGAAGAATCATTGAACAACTGATATTAGTGCACAGAAATATTATTTTATTTAAAGCACTTAATTTTTTTAAATATCACAGATAAATATAACAGATCAAATTTACTCATAGGCATCTTCATATAGGTCGAATATAGGTCTTCTCAAAAATTGTCCTTAACTATTGTATCAACAAATATTAGTTTTGGATTTGATTCCTCTAAAGTTGTTTCAGAAATTCGTATATTACTCATATCATTTTCAGCCATTTTCGTTCTTAATTCGATTTAATTCACGATAATGAATTAACCGTAAATTGTTGCAGAAAATGATTAATTATGTAAAGTTAAATTGAAGAGAAAACCTTGTATGCATTTTTAAGATACATCGAATAAGTTATGTGTTAGTGATTACTTCATGAAATAATTTCTCTTGCTTGGTTTTATTTTATTATATATTATGATTTTATGCTTTTATTTATTTTATTATATATTATATAAAATTTTGTTACATAATTATACATTTATTAATTTTATATGAATTTAAATTGCAGTTCTGCCTATGCAAAAGGAAACTAATCCAGACAATGTCACTGTGGCTTTATTGGATCCAGGAGCAAATCCTAATAGCTATCCCACTTCTGAACTTCAACAGTTCTGGGTTGTACTCAAGAGAACACTTTTATTCAGCAGAAGAGATTGGGTATGTTAATTATCTACTACTAACTCTCTTAAATTTATGTTTAATTATATATTATATAAATATATTATTATAGTATAATGAATAACTGATTTTTTTTTATTTCAGACCCTTATGTATTTGAGATTATTCGCACACATTCTCGTTGGTTTCCTAATCGGTGCATTGTATTACGACATCGGAAATGATGGTGCCAAAGTTCTCAGCAACTTGGGTTTCTTGTTTTTCAACATGTTATTCCTTATGTACACTTCTATGACCATTACTATTCTTTCATGTAAGTAGTTGTTTAATTGCTATTTCTATTCATTACATCACAACTTGTTTGGCATAATCTAATGTAACTTTAAAATTTTAGTCCCGCTCGAAATGCCGGTTTTGTTGAAGGAACATTTTAATCGGTGGTATTCATTAAGATCATACTATTTGGCAATTACTGTGTCGGACATTCCTTTCCAGGTAAGATTTTGATTTTTATTCTGTGGTTATGGGCATTTTCACAAATTATCGTTTTCATAATCCATAACCATGTCGTTCTAAAATTATTCACATCATTGGCTTTCGTAATAACATTATATTTACATTTATCAAAAATTATTGGATATACACGTGCATTATGCAGTATTTTATTTATAAATTTATATTACTAATTAAGTAACACATATAATTGTTTTTTGGTGCATATGGTGTTTGTAAGTGGCTTGTATTGGGATTCGATTAATAATAATCCATGCATATTTCTGGGCGCTATTGACAATACTTCTATAATTTGGAAATAGTACCTACTTACGTCAGCGAAGAAACTAAAGGAGAAAATTTATGAAGTAGTTAGAAAATTCAAAAAAAATACGTGAGATACTTTTGAACTACGTTTACATACCTATTGATTTTATTTCTTGCATCCTTGTGTTAAATGTAAAGCGAGAGTTTTTAAGGTTTTTTCGCGAGGCTGATTTGAGTGGATTTGATTCACATTTCCATTCGATAGATTAGGTTTCTTGCAGTTATAATATCTTTATTGAAGATTAATTTTTTCACCGTATGTACAGATTTAATTCATACACATCTCTATAAATAATTTTATGATACAATACACAATTTCTGAAGTAAAATTGTTATTAAAATATAACATTTTCAAACGATTATAATTCTGTGGTTGAAAAAAAGGTATATGAAGTTTTCACAGCACATTGCCTATCGAGTTTGGCATTACATATGTATGTAATATATTAAACTATGATATTATTATTGATGTGTGTTTATAGTTTTTTTTTGTGTAATGGCAATTAACATATGCATGAATATCACGTTGTTGCTATACATATTGTATTTTTTTCACATTCATCTTTTATGTATTATAATATTTTTTCATATATTCAACACGCGCGCATATGCATTTTTCTTTGTATGCGCTTTGATATGATAATTTAAATACGGCTATTTAATTATATTGTGCAATGACCATCTCATCATTTAATTTGTGAATACAGTTTTATTCATTATGCGTCTTTATTCTGCATTTGTCCTTACCTATAATTATGTTTACGTTTAATAACATCTTAGGCATATGATTTTATATTTTTTTGTCATGAAGAATAGTCACGATAATAAATGTTAGAATGTCTGATAAAATTCTAAGATCGTATAAAATCGTAACACATCGTATGAAAAATTATTTCAAATAAATGGTCATATTTCAACTTTCAATAATCAACATTGTAATGCTTAAATCTTAACTATATTGCTCTAAATATTTATTTCTTTTATTATCATATATTAGCAAATCAAATTATGATTTTATATAAAAGTCGAAGTATAACAATAAACGCAAATTACTCGAAATCCATGAACCCATCCCACCTCAATTTTATTAAATTTCAATGAGCAATTTACCCAGTGTCTTCTAAACAAATTGAATTATGCAATTTTTCTAAATTTGCATAATTTCAATAGTGAATTTTTGAAATCAGTTTTTTAAACTTCCATTATTTGAAACTAATTTAATTATCTAAAGTTTTTTTTAATAATTTTATGATATTTTCATTACCAAAGAAATTAAATCTCATAAACGAAGTCTTCAAAAATCTACTTTGAACAAGTGTTGACTTAACAATCAATTCAACATTTCTGTATAATTCTCATCTACAATATTATTCACAAATGTGTAATGTGTGATAATAATCTAAATGGTATATTCTTTAGGAGTAACATATTTTTAGTCATTTACATACGAGTTTTTAGTCATCCGCAACATTTTATTCAGATTGCTTACTCACTGCTTGGCTTCATAAATCATGTTTCATTGTCATACGTAGTTAATTTTCATCACCGACTTAGCATGAAATGCTTAATTATGGAAAGAACTGAATAATAGAGTTGAATCCTAATCCCGACCATATTCTTATTAGACGATCTTCTGCATAATCTACGTTACCATCGTGTATTTCCTGACATCTCAACCACTTGAGATAGCTCGTTTCTCGATGTTCTTGGGTGCTTGTCTCCTGATCTCATTTGTTGCCCAAAGTGTCGGATTGGTAGTAGGAGCTGCAATGAACGTCCAAAATGGAGTATTTTTGGCACCTGTGATGTCTGTACCATTCCTGCTCTTCTCTGGATTCTTTGTATCTTTCGACGCGATACCAGTTTACTTGCGCTGGATCACTTATTTGAGTTACATCAGATATGGATTCGAAGGAACAGCTTTGGCAACTTACGGTTTTGCCAGAGAGAAACTAAAATGTTTCCAAGTCTACTGCCATTTCAAGAATCCCGAAACCACTTTGGAAGAATTGGATATGTTGGATGCTGATTTTACCGTCGATATCATTGCTCTTATTGTCATATTCGTGGTACTAAGAGTTGCGGCCTTTCTCTTCTTGAGATGGAAACTGAAGACCACACGATAAATTACTCATGATAAATTAAGTATAAGTGTATTATTTAAAATTCAAAAAAATTCTATTGAGGATTGATATGAGCTATCAAGGCACGTACTTCTACAAATCTACAAATATCTGTTTAGACTATAACAAACGTAATTGTTATTAAGGATATATTTAATTATTATAAATGTTAGCTTTTATATGTTGATATTAGAAAATACTTTTATACAAAGTTCGATGAAACAAAAGTTGCATTACCGATGTGCGGAAAATGAACAAGGACTTGATCTCGAAATAAAAAATCTCCCCAATTTCAATTTTGATTTAAATATTTTACTTAAGTCATTCAAGAGCATAAAGTGATATCTTTTAGTTTGATTTTTTTATATTGCAAATAATCCTTGATTCTCCAGATAATATTTGAAAATTCGATATTCTGTTTCTTATTTCTGTCTTCGGGATTAAGCCTCAATTCACCCTTGTTCTTTCGGAAGGATATATTAAATATGATAGATGTATGATTATATTATTATTGATGTTTTTGGAACAATGCAAAAGGCTGTGCAAGATACAAATTTAATTTCTAGCATTCAATGCCTCTCTAAATATATAGTTAATAATTTAATACTCTACAAAATGTAATTTTAATTAATTCAATGCCGATATTTAATAATTTATATAATAAATATTGTGAGTATATTTTTTATACAATAACTTGAACAAATTGGATGCCTTGATTTAAATTGCCTGTAAAATGTGTAAAACTCTTGCCTAAAATTAGGGAAACGTGTAATGTCGTGGACCAGATAGCTGTGTTTTAAATATTATATGTTAACATAGCATAAATAAAATATTTTTATTAATAAATGATATATCATGTGCTATTTGCACATAAGATCTTATTTATAGTTGGGTTTCTGCGGTGTGTAATTGCAGAATTTATATTGTATGTTTGAATAATAAAATAAACTAAAAACGTATTGTTCTATTTTATTTATTGAAAAACTTCAACTTCGAAGTTTAATACTATGAAGGCATATTATATCAAATAGATTTTTCCACATATTAAATTTGTTCACAGGTCAGTAAATAGTTTCTCTGAAATTTTTCAAATATTTGAACGAATGATTTTATTTAAAGAATGAATTCTTCAGATCAGTTTACATTTGTCGATTGCATTATTACAATTGAGTTCGAATTCACAATATCAGGTTTTAGGGAATCAATAATGTCTTAATCGTAATCAATCAATAATATTTGAATTATTAGCTCACAAGTTAAATGTTATGAACTCTATCACTTTTGCACGAGTTGCTTTTTTTTTTTTGATCAATTGCAATAAATAATTTTCATTTTATTCAAGTCAATGAGCTATTAGAGGTAAAAGCCATCTATATAAGATTAGAAGATCATCATTGCAGATCATATTCACGTTATCGAGATTTGATTAGACACGTTTGAATAGACGTTTTTATATAAAAGGTCACAAAAAGTCAGGCTTTTGCAGTGGACTGCATAATATCGTAGACTGTTAAATTATCATATAAACGAATTAAATTTAAATAATATCTTGATAAACACAAATAGTTTCATTTTAAATAATTATGAAAATGTAATGACTTATATTCAGGATATGCAGATTGTTTTGAATTTTAATAATATGGAATGAAAATGAAAATAATATGGAATGAAAATGAGTGAGTTTGTTTTAAATGACTCATATTAATCGAATTTATCATTGCATTTTTTGTTTACTTATATAGTTTTTTATATTTTGTATATAAAATATATTAAATTTTACTTATCTTACAACCAAATTCGAAATACTTTACTAGATAAAAATAGTTCATTATTTCTTAATATACTGAATTTAATTTTGAACAATAATTTAAAGTTTTCATATTATTGAATGGTGTGAATCGATAGACCTTCTCATGCCAATATTTGACCGCGAGGGTCAAATGAATATTTGAAGTTGAATATTAAATAAGATATTGCTACGTATTATTGTGAAAATAGACGTAGATTTTCATTCTTAGAAATAAAAATATTAGAAGCAATTATCTTTAACCATGGAAAATTTTTAATTCGTTGATTTATTAATTATCTGAATAGGTTATTTTGTTGTGATCAAGAAGATCAAAATTAGAATATTCATATGTTACATGCTATCAAACAAAAAATCTGAAACTGCAGGTTGTGTATTCAAATATAATACAAGCCGCATTAATTAATAAACAAAATCTTAAACTTTTTAAATAAGTGATTTGAAATTGTGAATTTGAAAATGAACAAAATTATAGAGGATTAGTTTTAAGTTTGAAAGTTCTAATAACTCATTTTTATTAAAATACTCATTTTTATTAAATGTTCTGTTACCATTAGGATTTGAAATTTCATGAATGAAAAGCTTTTCTTCGAGTTTTTTTCATGAAGAGTGCGGAACCGTAGGAATTACATTTCACATTTTGGATGCTCTTACAACATAATGATAATCTTATGATAGGTTTCCGATTCTTGGAATAACCACAAAATTGAATTATTTCCAAAGGTTATTAAAGCTGTAGGAAATATAGTGCATAATTTTCAACAAATATCGAGTGTATTCAAAATATGAATTTTCAAACTTACAACACCCTTAAAATAATTCATACTTTTGAAATTACCAAAATATTTTTTTATTGCGAATTATGTGATCTTATCTAATCTTATTACGTTCTTTGGATATCAATTTGTATTTTCTTTGATCTTGGCCTTGGCGCCAAACGTGGATTTAGCAAATACTGAGGTTCCGAGTTCAATCCTAACCTTGATAATCAAGCAGTAGTGATATCAGATTATCAAATAAGGTTATAGATCGGACATTGCCTTATAGCAATATATATTATGTTCACTTTTAAAAATACATTTAATAGCTCAAATAGTTTATAGAACACATCGTTCTGATGAAATAAAAATGAAAAAAAAAATTCTAACCTCTGAACTTAAATAACCATCAGTCTGTATCCATGAAAGGCATTCATGTTATAGACTTGTTTCAACGTTGCTAATAGATTTTTAAGAGAATATTCTAGTCTAGAACTTTTAAAAAGTCGTTTTTTAGATGTTTTAAAGTCTAATTATTCGAGAATATGTGTATAAATGGATTTTTTATAATCTAAATTATTTTCGGAGATATAGCTGTTTGATCACATTAGATCTCCTCGTTTTTTTCTCTAAACTGTAGTTTTCGATACGACGATACCCATGATTTTTCCCACTTCTACTGAACCGATTCACTTGAAATATTTACAAAAGCTTTTTGTAGACTTTTCGTCGATATGAAATAAGTTCATTCCTAAATACCATTTGTTATTATTTTTAAAAAATTTGAGAAAATCAAAAGAGTGGTAATTTTTTTTCAGATGGTCGCAACTTTGTAAAAAAAATACTTGAACTTGTTTATAGTTCATAAAATTCAGATTCTTTGGAGAGCTAATATCAAAAATATGGCCAGGTTTCAATTTCTTGAGATCTTCCACTTTATCATAAATAAAATTAAAAGTTTTGGTCACCTTAGAATCAAAAGTTTAATTATCATTTATTATTAGAATATTAACTTCCCGTAGGGTAAGTTATTGCAATCGTCCAAAAATCGAAATTGAAAATTTTTACATTTCTTCACGTTTTGAAGGTTTCTGAACATTTTGGCATACTTCAGAAAAAATGGATGTGTGTGTGTGTATGTAGTATGGATAAAATTTTTCGTTCACGTTTTCGGGCGCATGGATCAACCGATTTGAATGGTTCAAAAACATTCGATTCGTATTGATAAGGAGACGTGCTGATTAGTTTTTGGCGAAGGCAGGTCTAGCCGTTCCGAAAATACCGCGCAAAAAGTGTCGAAAACGGTAACTCAGTTTTTAAGAGAACGGAGCGTCCGATTTGATTAATTCAAAAAACATTTTATTTGTATTGACTAAGTGAAGAACTGTTCAAATTTTTGGAAAGGCAGGTCCAACGGCTTTGGAGATATGGAGGAAAAAAAATGCCATTTGGCGGTCAAAAATGAACATTAGACATATGCACATCAAATTATCAGATATTTTATAGAGATTTTAACAATAAGTATAAATTTTGTTTACATTCCTATGGGTTTCGTACCAATGTTTACGCGTTAGACGGCGACGCGGCGCTCACGCGCTTTGATATTTCGTCTTTAGTCTTTATGCAGTTAAAGCAGTACGATTGCTTTGAAAAAAAGTTCAAAATTTTCAAAATATTTTAAAATAAATGATTTAAGATATAATGATTTAATATGGTTCGAAATTCTATTAAAAGTTTCAAATCATTGATCAACTTTTATTGATTATTATTATTGATTATTTTTAATTACTCGAATTTTGAATTGCGGTACGGGAAGTTCCAGAAATTTGCCTTAAGGCACGATGCCCTAATTGCCTTAAGACAGAATTCTACTTACAGCTAGTTTTTATTTTTCTTCCATATTTCTCAAAACAGCAATTAATATTTTGTAAAAAAAAATAGTGAAAATATTGTTTACTTTTATTTTATGGCCTTTCAGAAATTGTATAAATTTCATGTCTCTAGACTTAACTACCCCCTTATAATTTGCAAACTTGATTATTATATAAATATATATATTCCATACTGAACATCAGCACAATTTTGGTCGTACTTAAAAAATGTCTAAATCGAAAGCCAAACAATTAATTGGGCGCCTAGGTATTTAAACCAAATTTGGTTTAAGCGTTAAATACTGACATAGGCATGAGTTTGCATGTTGAAAATCATTGCGTGTTAATCATAATAGAATAAAATCGGATATGATTTAAATTATTTATCGCCACAAACACAACAATGACAGCAACAAGGCGCTTTAACTAGGCTTGTCTATGCGGAACGTGCCTCAGTACTATCGCATTCACAATCGTTCATTCATATACCAACGTTCGTGGTCGCAAGATACAACGAAAATTTGCGCAGAAAATATAAATTTATCGATAAACAGATAAATTAGAATC